CAGATAAAAAACAAAAATGATTAAGCTGACATAATATGATCTCTTTCAATCATCTTATTTCTATCACACGCACACACACCTCCTGAATGCCTCAGGATTTCCTTCAGCACTGTATTTTGACTGAACATTTAATGAAGCATCATAGACTACTTCATATAAATCTTGGCACATGAGAATGCATCAATCATAATTTTATTATCTAAGCTATTCTTTAACATCAATTCCAATCACAAATAATTTTTTGAGTTACCATGGATGCATTCCTCAATTACCACATCTAAATTTCCTTTTTCTAATTTTATTCTTAAGTGAAATAAATTTCATAGAACCTACAAGAAAATGGAAATTTCATATCTACCAATAACTTATCTTTGACAGTTCTAGTTAGATTCAGAGGTAACAAACTGGCACAAATCTGCCGAAGTCATAAAAGTATATGCTGAATACAGTCTTTTTTTTTTTCTTCTTTTGATTTTAGGTTATAATTGAGATTGGTATTTGAGTCTCTTAACCTGAAACTGATTGTCTTTCCAGCCATACGGTATTTTGTATTGAATATAGTCAACTAATTGAGAGAAACTACCTCTTCTTCTTCCAACAGTCGAAGAGAATTAAGTCAAAAATTAAAAAAAAAAAAAAAAACATCTTGATAACAACCCTTCATGAAAAAAAGTATTTAAGTACTCCCATAAATAATACTACTAATCAAAAAATCATTGTAAAGCTATTATTAATAATAAAATCATTGAACAGTTGATTATCTCTTGGATCAGTTGGTACTTCAAAGTTATGGGTTCGAAAGGACTTAAGTTTGTAATGTACACTTTAACTAGGTATGTAATAAGATAGAAAGTTTAAATGATTATTATATTATTATCTATTTTTATTTGTCACATTAAATGATTTGAACTAATACTATTTTTTGAAAAAGAAAAATTTGTGTGCACACAAAAATAAAAGTGATTGCAGAATAATAAAAAATTAAAGGGTTATGATATGTTTGCTATGCAATCAAGGAAAAAGTTGGTATATGAATGAGAGCAAAACGGGCATGAGGGATAAAAGGTACAGTGCGATTGGACCACAACATGGTCTTGCAGAATAAGGGTGCAAACTTGTAACATAATCACATATTCACTAAAAGGTTAACTATGAATTAACATCATTCAAAAGAATAATACCTTTTTCTTCTTTCTTCACGTATGATTATAATAACCTTCTCCTAAGACAACAATCACCAAATAAGTAGCCATATATGCCTCCCTGCAGGCTGCAGTGGACAAGCACAAATGACAGTAGGAGGAATGAATCATGATCCTAAGAACTCGATATCAATTTCTGTATCGACTTGTTAGAATTTGGTCATTCTAATCAATACCTGGTTTCTAAACGCACATACAATTACTGTTCTGTCAAGTCGATTGATCTAAAACAAAAATCACAGTTTCTACTTCCAAAACAATCACCTTCTCACTCTGGCAAATAGACAGAGATTCCCGTTCGAAGGAATGAAGCTGTGTGATTAACCAGACAACAGTTGCATATCTGGAGCTAATTGGCGAAAATAATCATTTTACCTTTCTACCTCTGTTTCTATAAAAGCACTACAGCAGGAGGTGTTTTTCAAAAATACCCATTATTAGGGTGCAAATTCTTCATGCCTATTCTCTATTCATTTAGACTAGCTTCTTCTCTAAATTAGCCGCAGCCACCCGTTGGCGCTTCCTCTAAGCTGGGATTTTATCAGGGAAAGCCTATCTTACCAATCTCTCCCACGTATAGCAGCCCAGAAACATTAGTAGAGTCCACAGCAATATCTTATCCCTCAATCCAACAGGCAAAGGAACTAACTTCAACCAATCATTCAAGTCCCTAAGTAGATCAGATGTTATAACCACAAAGAAACCAGCGGCAGCTACAAGCGCGTACGAGAATGGTTTGTTTTCGGGGATGCCCTGGTTGAAAGGATGTCCCATGTAGTTCACTGCAAATATAGGCCACCCATGAAGCATCGTGCTTGCTCACCATATATGAAACGTGTCGCTAGATTAGGGTGAAACTCAGAGTTTGGTTCAACGCACTCCTCAGGCATGTGTTCTTTGCCTCTTCCAAGAAGAAATCAAGAAAAACAGGTGGATTGCAAACTTCCCATGAGAGAAAAGGAAGACATGAAGCAGAAATATTTGGGCTTCCGCCGTGCAAGACTGAAAGGTTGGGCAGGGGGCGAGCATGTGAGATAAAGGGAAAAACGGCAGCTGTAAGTAAACACTGATCAAATGCCTGGACTAACCAGCTTGACGCATCTAGATACATCACACTTAAAAACATTGGGCCGTGGCAAGGGTAGTTAAGGCCAAGTATCTGACATTGAAGAGGGCAGTCCACAAGGGTGCTGCCTCCTTGACGAATTTTGTCAATGGTTGCGGCAACGGATGCATTCTTTGCTGTAAATTGCTGTAACATATTTATCAATTGTTATTAGATTGTTGACTATTTCAAAATCAATACTATCAATAATTTTCATGTGTATTGATTAGACCTATTCATAGATCTAGCCAAATTTAAATCAGATTTTAAATAAAAATTTTTAAGTTTGACCCAAAACATTATTTAGTTTTAATTTTAAAATATATTTATTATAAATATATTTTTTATTTTTTTAAATAATATTGGTCTATTTGGCCCAATGAAGTTGTACCTTGAACTAAATTTTCAAAAAATCATGACTCCATTCAATCCACCATATACACCTCTATGATAATATAAAATCTACCTATATTTATAAATATCAACAAACCTTATAAATTTGCTTTTATTCAAAACTCTTTGATCATCAATAGAGATATTTCATTCAATATCTCCCCCTCGTCAAACCCAGTGATCAAACTTTTCACTCTTTATCATCTAGCTAGTCTCCTTATGTTGAAAATTTGTTTAATATTTAAATAATAAATTGAAAGTCAATGGACTTAAACGAGGTTGTCAAATTGAATATTGGTCAAGCTTCTAAAAAAGTTACGAGATTCAACTCGATTCATGAACACTTTTATGCAATGCATGATTTAAAAATAATAATAATAAAAAATAAAAATGTTACAATATTTGACAATTTAACTATTCATAAAAAATAAATAATTATATAACTATCCACGGTTAAATTTAAATGTATAAATGAAAATAAGTAAGAGAAAAAATAAAAAACAAAAACACAAAAGAAAAAGGTCATCCAGACTATGATGACTTACATCCATAAGAGAAACATCCAACGGATTACAATTTATATGCTCTTCATAGTCTAGCCTCCACAGATGAGATACACCGTAGCATTCTTCTAAAAGAAAACAAAGAGTGAAAAAGAGTTGAAAGAGCAAGAGTCGAAGACCTCGCCCGAAAACTTAAAATCTTTACCTCTCAGAGCTGAATATAAAACGTCTTACAAGTGGGTCTCAAAGCAGCCCTCTAAGTCCCACCCACAAATCCCAGCTAGACTTGATCCAAAGAAGGGTTTTTGAGTACTTTGGCCCAAACAAGTTTTAGCTCATTTGCCTCTTATTTTTCAAAATAAAAAAGAAAATTCATCAAATTTTTTTTTACAATGTATCAAAATTACTATTAATTATTTAATTATTAGATAAATAAATAAGTAAGCATCAAGAGTATGCACTTTAATAAATAAATTGCTCTATTCTAAAATGCAACAAAATCCTTCATCAAAATCAGTACAACAGTATTCCTTCGATTGCAGAAATGACAAGAGGGAAGATTTAGAACAGGCAATGAATGTTTCATTGTCTGTGAAAAGTGGAATGTGTAGAAAGACTTGAGTTTCAAATATCGTAGAATGAGAATGCTATTAGACATTAGTTTAGCTTGAAGGCCATTGACATTTGAGTGATGAAGATGGTTCAGACTTCAGATATATGTCATTGAAAATTGAACAACACTAGAACCTTGGATTGGACTGTTACAGAATGCTGGTCAACCTTTAACTTCCCAAACATTTTATTTTATGGATTTTTCCATTAGTTTCTAAACTTTTCCCCTTTTTTCTTGTTTTATATGCAGGAAATAAGCAGCAATTAGTCTCTAAATTTGAACACATTTGAACCTCTTGCAGACCCGTGTTGTATTTATATCCAACATTTTAACACTTTCAAAATGTCCAAATACATATAAAACTTGGCTGGATATCGCAAAAAAGAGAAAACAAGACAATTCACGTATAATAACACCCTATATTCTTTTATATAATGACACCCATCCATTTTTCTTCTCTTAAAAATCGACACAATATTTATCATAAATTCTTAATTGATAAGTAGAATATATATAAAAAATTTTTTTTTAATACCGTATCATGTCGCATTTGTCTCCCAATTTTTAAAATGATTATATCATTTTATTTGTATCATGTGATATCTGTATTATGTATCTATCACATGTGATTCAAATATTATAGATGAGTTAATATATAAAATAGTTTTTGTATTATATATTTTTTGCCAATTTGATATTTAAAGAAATAAAATTCTCACTTTAATATTTTAATTTTAATTTTATCAAATATTTTATATTTCGTATTATTATTATCAGTTAAGTGATTGACATGACATAAATACACAATAAAATCATGTTTCGTATCATAAATATCTGGTCATCGTCATATTAACTATTGCTATATCAACAAAATTTTAAAGTTTTTTAAAAAATTATTTTTAATTTTTTATTTAAATGCTAATATGACAAATAAATGATGTGATGATAACTGAATATTTTATTAGATATTAAAATTATGTGTGTTTGTCAAGAGTACTTTAAGTATCGGATAGAATGAAAGTTTGGTACTAAAATGAAAATTTCATTTTTTTAAGGTAACGAACTAATAAAAAATGTATATTATATTGAAAAAAAATGTATAATACATAAACTAATTTTTTATTTAACCCTTATGGACAGCATTACAATCTCAGAAACTGAAAGCCAATCGTTTTTCTTTCAAAAAAAAAAAAAGAAACTAATTTTTACTTGAACTGATTGCAAAATTATATAGCTTGGTGCTGAAGGTACAATACATAAATGTGCTGACTCTCGACACTTGGAAAAGTATAGAATAGGTACATCTAATCATAAAATAGCTTCGATGGATTTTACATTCTCTTCCCATTCACAATTCAAGTAGAAAAGAAAAATAAAGGTAGCAATGGCATATTTACAGAGCATGAGGGGAAAAGCAAATACTTGAACTATTCTAAGACTTGGTTTGGCCAGAGACTTTTCCACATTGATATCTCTTCTTCCTTGTAAAGCTTCCTAATTCCTCCATAAAATCCATCAGCTTTATTGCCTACTTCTCTATGGTCTTTCCTGTTTATCATTGTTTTTCTCCATCTCGAGCTAGCAGGGTACTGGTTGAATTCTAGCATCACTGTGTCTGTCAAAAAAAAAGAAATGGTCAACACCATTGGTACCAGAAAATTTTGTAAAAGGTCAAAAGAAAAGTTTCAGGATTTATGCATGCATGCTAAAGGGGAAGTTGTCAGAAGACGTATTTGCAATGTTTGCAAGAAAGTCTACATAATTGATGCCAGATGTTTCATGGATGATGACCTATTTTGCCAACTTCAGTCAATCAGTGATTCATGAAATCTTTGAACTCAGGTACTGCCTGTGTTGTTTTGAACATTAAGTGTGAAGATCCTTTGCTCACAAGGTTCCAATTACAAGGGATTTTACTTGTTCATTGGGGTGAACTAAGGACTAAGGACTGCTATCAGAGCACTCTCTAACATTTTCCCTTCCCTCAACGCAAAATAAAATGCTAAAAGTTGGTAAAATCTAAATTCCATTCCCACTCAATATGAAGACTGATGGTATCTATCTGAAGAAATGGAAAATGGCTGGTTTGAAGAATGTTTCTTACATGCAGGTTAGATCAAGTCCCCTGTATATTTAGATTATGTAACATAAATCTTAAGCCGACTGAATTTGCTGTAAAAATTTTCGTGGAAAAGTAGAGAAGTAATTCCAAAGTCTGTGATTGTTTTCTTACCTGAATATTGACAACGGCAGTGATTTTCATTTCCATCACATGATTCCAAGTGACCAACAACACCATACCACCACCCTGCAAGAAAGTAAGCTCCAATTACTATTTTTTTTTAGTAAGTAAAGTTTTTAAGATTAATCACCAAGCATTCAGAGCAATTAACAATTTACTGTAAGTTGATTTCACATAGGACAGCAACATTTACTGTTTTGTCACAAAGACCTCATTTTTGGAAACTCACCATAGGGGAATTCTTTGTTTCTTCTCCATTGGATCTCAATATGATCACCAAGTTTTAAGTCAAGTAAGGAATCAGAAATGTGAAGATCATATGAAGGAGCATCAACTGGTGGTATTCTTAGCCTATCCCAGGATATATTATCCTCCGTTGTTAGCCGTCCGTTAGGTGAGTACCTAAAGTTCAAAACCCAGCTTGAGTAAGGAGTCATACAGAAGCATATCAAGTCACCGTTTACCTGAGTTGTTTTAGTTATTTAGATTGGATTTGAAATTCCATTAATTTTAGCAAAACAAGATCGATAGTGCTCAGCTCAAATGTTCAAATTCAGAATCTCAAAACAGAAATCATACCATACCTTGCCTGAAAGGTTTCCGACCTGGAATCATAGCAAAGCTTCGCATCATAACATGATAGCATAAACCCAGCATGTCCGTTCTGCATCCAATCACAAATACATCATTTCACCAAACTTTTCTGCAGAAAAAATATTATTGCTAATGAATTTTCTACGAACAACATTTATGTAGATGGGACAAATAGGTAAAGAATCAACTGAAACAATTATATGCAAGCTAATTACCTCCCGATTATAGACTTGTGCTGGGAACCAGAGTTTTCCGGTTTCCAGACATAGATACCAAGATATGATTGAATCAACTGGCAAATCAAGTTTTTTCTGCTGGTTGCTACTGTTTTCTAAGTTTGGTTTAAACCAAGAGAAAGGCCACATGTTACTAAGAGATCCCAGAAACCCTTTTTGCTTACTTGGGCCTAATAGGTTCGGTCTCTTTCTTGAAGCAATATGCCATTGCCATTCCCTGTAAGCAGCATCACCAATCACTTTACCCCATTTCTGCTTCATGTGTTTCTTCCAAAGATGATCACTGGTACATCTCTCCCTAAAAGAGGAGCAAACTCCAGCCATGCTGCACAATCCAGCAGGTGAAAGGCGCTCTAGAATGCACTCCAGAGTGAGTTCAGGCAAATCGAGCAGAGACGTTTGGTTTCCCCCAACATTCTCTACGTTATAAGAGCCAAGCCTCATCTTCTTATTCTTCAATGACATGATCGAACGGAGTTGATAGAAACTGATTCCAAGCCTACCCTTTTGGAACCATGACACCATAAAGCTTAAGCATCCTTCCCAAAACCATGGTGACAACAATCTCCATTCACTCTTCATCCTTGAACGGTTCTTGGAAGACAATGACTTGGATAGAAGAATGAAAGAGAAACAGGATATCAAGAACAAAAGCATTGGATTGAGTGATACTTAAGAATTAAAGGGTCAAGTTTTGGATGTAGGAAAAAGAAAATACTTTTAAGAAGATCAAATGAAGAACAAAATATACAAATAGAAGGCTATAAACAAAGAGATCACATGACATATTATATATATAGATATAGGGGTATTTTTTATAGATTACAAAAAATAGGAGTATGATCCTTTTTTTATGTTGTCTTTTTTTTTTCCCACTGGGATCAATTAGTTTTTATGACTCAGAAAGTCGAACCAACGAGTGATGTAGCGAAATGGACGGAGTTGTCAAGTGGTGTTTGAAAGGTAATAAATGAGAGACATTGATTTTATCTACATGGTAGTTAGATTTGCAAATGCACCGATGACCGACATTCAGCAGTGAGTAAATTACACCACAACAACAACCATAATGGATGGAAATGGAATTCAATTACTATGATCGCTTCAACTCCAGAATAACAAGTAATTTTCTACATAAGCTTTATTGAGTTTTTTTTTTTATAAAAAATTATAAATATTGAAATTTAAATTTTAAAATGACTGTAAACATAATAGTAAGTTAATAAATTTTATTGAGCTTGAGTATTGAATAAATATGCATTGTAAGTAGGGTAATTTTTTAAATCATAATCTCCAATATTGACATATTTCTCTCTCTCAATGTACGAAAGAGTTTGGCTGATCTTGAGGTTAATTATTATTAAAATTAAGTCTACAAGTTGAGCAGACAGACCACATGGACTCTTTTTTAGCTTTCCAGTTTTAAAAACATAGGGCATCCAAATACAGTGTATTCAAATTCCCATTCCCGCAACATGGGACTGGGCTAAGGAAGAACCGAATTGTACACAATCTGGCGGACAGCTGGCAGCTTCTAATTAAAAGATGAAGGAGAAAATACGTATCTAGAAACAAAATCTAGGGAATAGGGCTTGCTAGATTTGTATGAGGAGACTCACGTGTCAAAGATGTAGGAATTTTGCCTAGAAAAGTGGTAGTGTAGGTTGCTTGCCAACGGATCTAAATTAGTTGAAATAGATTACCAAGAATACGAATAATGCAAAATTTAACCTTACCCAAAACTTTGAAAGTTGCCTACAGTCGTATAATTTATTAATAAAATATTAAATTTTATTTTTAAAGATTAAAATTAAAATTTTTACATTTTAAGTATAAAAAATATTATAATTTTATATTAATAAAATAATAATAAAGTCTGAAGATAAAGAGTTTGTGTGTTTGTTGCAGAAGGCGGAAAAGATGAGGAGGAATAAGTTGTGGGTCCCAAACGAATCCATCACATTCACTCCAAAAACACAGAAGAAAAAGGCTGTTATCTGATTCACGGGCTGTTTTATTTTTAAAGCATTGAATTGAGGGGATGGATGTTGATTGTGACAAAGCCATAAAAGCCGACCTGATTTCTTGGCCTAACTCCCACCAAACTCTCCCAACACCGCACACCACAAGCTCAAAAGCTTTTGTCAAAAAGAATAAAAATTTGCAAATCAAAATTAAAGCCTAGGTACGTGAATGTGACTGTCTATATTATAAAAAAAATATGGGTACAGAGATCGATTGAACCAAAGCATTATTATTGGATCTCTAAAGAGATGGGGACTTTTCCATCCATTTTGCCTTGCTACACACATGATGACGATGCTCCCAATGTCCACTTGCATAGGATTTTTCACGCTATTTTGTAAATTTCATTAAGAGAATAAAAATTCGATATTTTGCATAAGATTTAATATATTAATTATGTTAAGTATTTTTTTTTTGCTTTTTTATTTAAGCATTTTATTTGATAAAAAAAAGGAAAGAAAATTTTTTAAATTTAATGGTTGAAATGCAAAATAACATACGTTTTTATAGATTTTGTTGATGTAGTAGATTAATATTGTTGATGCAAAAATTATTGGACAAAACCTGCGCTGAGGTATTGTTTTCTTTGGGAGATGGAGGTATACTCTCGTGATTTTATCCTTTAACCTTTGAAAAAGGGCATCTCAATAGAGAAAGAGTGGCCCATCCAATCCTTGTTATTGAATGTAGACATTAAATTTGGTTAAGGTTCATATCAATTAAGCTTAATTCAAATAGGATAAGATTTGTCTATTTTTATTTTTATTTTTATTTTTTGAGGGTTATTTGTTCTGAATTTTATTTTAATTATTTTTTTAATATAAATTTTATTCTAGAAAAAAAAATTTATCATGAATCTGGGATTGATAAACTTAAAATTGGACTTAAAGATTGAATCCTAATTATAGAAAGAATTGGCATTGATAAAATATTTTTCTGATCAATATCTATAAATATAGGCTTGGACACAAATTAAATTTATGAAATAGAGAGAAAAATAGAAAGCAAAAAACAGAACGCAAAAGTCAAAAAAATTTTAGAGAGTGTCAAAGAAAATTTTAGGATTTTAAAGATTTTTTTAGAATTTTTGACCTTTTTTTCCGAGAAATTTTTAGAAATTTCAGATTCCAATGAATTTTTCGACGAAATTCATATTTTTTGGCATGTTTTTTTTAGTTTTTGGCAGCTTTTCCCAATTTTCGATAGAACATTCAATCGGATTTTAAGTTTTTAGAGAGAGAAAAAGAGAAAAATAGGAAAAGAGAGAGAGAGGGAAGAAGGGGGTTTGCTGAAAGGCTGAGATTTTTGCTTTTTATACCATTATAAAATGACATAGTTTTGGCCTTACTAATCCTAGAGGATCTGCGCATTTTGCCATCGGACAACCCGACCTAAGCGCTAACTCGCTTTCTGACCCGCACTTAACCTGCTTACTCGTTGATCCTTGGAGCCAAGCCGCATCCTTCGAGCCATGCTTTGTGTCTGGAGCCGAGCCCCATCGAATCCCTCGAGCCGAGCTGTTCATTTTTTTTTTGTATTTTATTTATTTGTTTATTTATGTGTTATTTATTTTTAGAAGTATTTTTGCATGATTAAATTTTAATAAAAAAGGTAAAAAAAAAAATTTTGGGAATAAATATTAATTATCAAATGATGAAATTTATAGAAATTTTGAATAGTAAATATTTATAAAATTTTTAGGTGAAAAATTTTATCTAAATTTATCTCAAATTGTGGAATAATTTATATAAAATTTTAATAAAATAATTAATATTTATTTTCGAACTAAAAAATATAAAAATATAAAAATTTTGGAATTAAATACAAATTACCCAAGGATGAGATTTTTAGAAATTTCAAATGGTAAATTCCTAAGAAATCTCTAAGGTAAGAAATTTTCTCTAAAATTGATCCAAATAGTGGAATAATTTAGATGAAATTTCAATACAAGTAATTGTATTCTTTTTCAAATAAAGTTTTGATTGAAAATATGTGATAATTATCCAAAGATGAGATTCTTACAAATTTCAAATGATAAATTTCTACGAAATCTCTAAATGAGAAATTTTCTCTAAAATTAGCTCAAATGGTGGAATAATTTAGATGAAATTTCAATAAAAATAATTGTCATATTATTTTCTTTCCAAGAAAAAAAAAGAATTTCTAAATAGGCCCAAATGGTGAAAATTTAAAAAAAGAAAAAGAAAAAATATTTCTAATTTGGCCCAAATGATGGAATAATTAGATATATTTTCAACAAAAAAATAAAATCAACAAAAATCTTTCCAACAACGGAGCCTCTTCAAGGAAACAAATGGGATCCTTGAATACTTTTGAGGTGAGAAAATATTTTAAGAGTTTTACCAGATTAATGAAAGAATCTTATAAATTATTTCCAATATTCAACATAACAATTTTGAAACCATTAGAACCAAAACTTTATGATAAATTTAAAATAATATAGTACCATCCTTCGGATGGGCATGTGGGGGTGCTATAACCTTCTCCACATGTAACCGAACTCTAAAACCTTATTCTAATTAGTAGACCCGAACTTATTCTTTTAGAAACCCTTCGTCAAGCTTAAGAGCTCATTAAAAGAATAGATTCCTTAGGTAGCCAATCACACCTAGATAAAAAAGATTGATAGCGACTCCATCCATTTGTTAAATTTAGCTATAGATTTTCGTATCTATATATTATGATCGTTTGGTGACTTCATTGAGGACGCTATAGAGAGTCAAGCCATAATTTTTGAATTTATCCTATCCTTTGGTCTAATGGTTTTAATGATTTGTGTTTACTAACATTTTCCCTTTTTTGTCTTTTATTTGATTTTTTAGGGTATGATAACTATATGTTCCTTCACATACTATCACTTGTATTTGCATTACATGAGCTCTATACCCAAGCTCCGTCCCTCTTAAGAGAGAGAAAAGTACCTATGCTCTAGTGAGATGATAAACTCCATAATGGCTAGCGAAATACTCTCACTCAAATTGAATCCTTTCCATTGGTAGCCTATGATGGGTGATGAATGGACTGCCTTACTAGTATGTAATGGACGATGATGTAAGAAACAATTTGAGAACTTTTAGTGGTCAAAATCTCTTAACCCTATATATAGTTCACCCCTAAAGGCCAACTTTATGATAGAGCCCTTCTTACCCATCAATAGATATGACCTAAAATTAAGACATAAAAAGGAATAGTTTGTTATCTAACCATTTTGTTTGTTTGATTTTATGCATCACAACATTATCATTCCATTCTATGCATCATTTCCATCCTCGTGTTTTAAGATTATCATATCATTTCATTATATGCATTATTTTCATGATCACGTTTAACATTATCATTTGCATCATTCTCATATAGTAAATATTTACCACATATCAGTTATTGATAAATCAGATTTCTCACTTACATCCATGAAAAGCTAAATGCAATCAAAGTCTACATCAGTCCATTATGAGTCTGCTTATCAACTAAAAATCAAGTCAGAAAAAAGTTAAAAAAAACAAAGACATTGCTTGCCTGAGGGTTTTATCTCATCATTACTCAAAAGAGTTCATCTCGAGTTACAGCAAAATGATCTAGCTGACTTAAATAGTGTCTGGGGATGCATGAGAAAAATAAGGCAAAAGGCATTTGAGAACAGATATAGAGACATAGCATCACTACTCCAAGTGGATGTGGACAATAATTTGATTAGGGCCATCATCCAATTTTGGGATCCTTTTTATAGGTGTTTTTATCTTCAATGAAGTAGATATAATGCCCACAATTGAAAAATATATGGTCCTACTTCACTTTGATTTGCCAAACCCAAACAAGATTTACTAGTCCAATAAGGTGGGCTATCGTAAAAAGCTAGTGTAAATGCTTGGACTTAACTTGCCTCATGTTGATGTATGTGTTAAGACAAAAGGTGAAAGTAAGGCTATCCCGTAGAGTTTTCTATGAGATTTCATCTAAGGGCGTATAGATGATGATTAGGGGTTAGTGATTATGGCTATAGCTCTATATGGGCTGGTGATCTTCCCAAAAGTCATCAGATATGTTGATATCACAATAATAGACTTCGTTGATCAGTTAGCATACCAAGTTAATGTAGCACCAACCATTTTGGCAGAAACCATTCG